TTCACACCCGCAAACTTCGCGCAAGCACGCGGCAACTCCACACTTACTGTGCAGAAGGTTGAGATGTGCTTTATTGAGCGCAAAGTGACATACTTACCGACAACCCACCCGGAATTCGGCTGTTCTATTCACTTAGTATACGGACTTTTTATAATGTTCGTTTCTCCCCTTTTCTTATCCATCGTTTATCTATTTTATTTGATCTAGTATGTGAGCCGCTTGAAATAGCCGAAACATTTACCTCACGGTTTTCCACTAGCTCCGCCTTACTCAACTCACCCATCCAACCTTCCGCGTACCCCAAATTGAACTATCTATATACCGTACTTATTTCGATCAGAAAGACATAGAATTCCTTTGTCACTGAACTCTAGTGCTACAGGACGTTCTTTAGATACGAGAAACGTTAAATTTCACGTACGGCCGATCAAATTGTGCGCTCTCGGAATCTCTGCGAAATCTCGTCATACGTCGTCGAGCCCAGGTGCATTCGTGACCTCTATGACCTCTATCTTGTCATATCGTTCTCTTGCAAGTGAATCTCTCATGTCATTCAATTGGGCCGTTTTTCTGTTTCCATCGAAGCTTTGGGATATACTCACGCGTGCAAAATTGTGCAATTTTATTCGTTGTGTCAATATTGCGATTTCGCTCGAAAGGAAATTCAACAACCTGTCCAACGAGTAATGATTGAACTTCCTAATTTCAACCACACGCATTCCAAGGATATATTTGTGCTGTTCAGTGCAGTCATTGTTACCACTGCAGTCGCACTGCGATCAGCAAAGCCGATCGGTACTCCCAACGTGACCTTTGTCATTGTTCTGTGCACTGGTGGTCTCCGCTGACCCGGACGAGTGGTCGACCATGACCTTTTCATACTTCGTCAGCCTCGCTGTTCGATAAAGTGCGAAATAGGACGTCGCAATGCCAATAAGTACCTCATCAGGTATTTCGATGGCATTGGAGTATGTGGCCCACGGGATTGTAGATTTGATCGGATGTAGACAGGTCTCGGCTGCAGCGTTTATCCGTCTCCTCTGTTCTCCCAACTACTGCGGATACGGCCCGAGAATTCTGAAAATAACTCTAGGAACACCAGAAAGGCCTACGACTGTCTTACAGTCGTGGTACGATAGCAAGATCAAGGGACCATTAAAACTGAGTTTAACACCAATGCACAACCCAGGACTCAAAAGTGCTTCTCAGGCAAAAATTATCGTCTCCATACAAGCCGGGTTCCCACAGACTTCATATTCCTTCCCGCAACTAGAAGACCGAACCCTACAAACTCTTCTCCCAAAAGAATTCCCTTAACGGACCACGATGCGGTCGACTCAACTAACCCTTTGCACCCCGACGAGTTTCTGCTCCGCGACCAACTGCGTTATGTCTACACTAGTTCCCAAGGTTTCCTCAACAAATTTTCAGTGGTGGAACTGCGTTGCTAAACTAGTC